AAAAGTATATTTTTAAAACACCAAAATTTGAATTAGGCTATGTGCTAAAATAGCTATTTGTTTGAACTAAGCTGGAAAAATAAACATATGAAGGTCAAATAAATTATAAAACATGAAGTTATGTTTTCATTTTTAAATGAATTGGTGCATTTTAAATGTATTTATTTATTACCCGGGCCACATACTTTTGCTTTTATTTTTAATTAGATCAGTAGTCTTTATTGGGTTAAACATACAGATACATCAGATAAAATCATTTGGTATTTAATGAATTTTATAATTTACTTAAAAAAAGCAAGCCAAAATGCAGAAGCATTACTACTACTGATACTACTGCTAAAAGTGTATTTATAAGCCATTAAATATTGAGGTAATTTACCCATTTTTCTTTGTTTTTTGTAACAGCGTGGTACAGATTTTATAGACCAAATGTGATTATAAATTTTCATTTGAATAACCTGGTGGACATATAAATTTTACTTGGCAAAGAAAAAACAAACCTGTCGGAGGCAACAGGACTAGAAGGGAAACCCATTCTCAGCAAGACAGTATTCTTCTTGAAAAATTAAGTAAATATGGTATTAGAGGATCAGCACCATCTAGTTATTTGAAAGATAGGAAACAGTTTGTACAAATAAATGGTGTAAGATCTAAACTTGGTAATATCACATGAGGAGTCCCTCAAGGCTCTGTACTGGGACCTAAGCTATTTACTTCATATGTGAACAACTTAGTAAATGTGTCAGGACTTTTCAAATGTGTTTTATTTGCTGACGATACATTTTTTTGTTTAGGTAAATATATAGAAAAAATGTTGGAGATGGTACAGAAAGAATTTGAGAAAATGCAAAATTGGTTTCAACAAAACAAATGATCATTAAACTTGGATAAAACAAATTACATTATATTTAGTAACAGGAAGAAAAATGTTGATTTTTTCATTTAAAGTAGATGGTATTGACATCTGTAGTCAGTGAGGTGAAATTTCTGGGTGTCATCATTGATGACGAGCTGACATGGCGACCTCACATACATTATTTAAGAACAAAAATATCTAAATCTATTGGAGTACTGTATAAAGTCAGGGAGTTATTTAATGACAAGGCTCTGCTTGTGTTGTACAATTCAATAARTGTTCCACATTTAATTTACTGTATTGAAGTCTGGGGTAAAGCTTGCAAAACAATTACAAATCCGATTTTTGTTTTACAGAAAAGAGCCMTAAGAAATATCACTAAAAAAGATTACAACCATCCATCAAATACATTATTTTGCAAACTGAAATTTTTGAAATTCTATGATATGGTTGACTATATTTTACTATTTATGTACAAGGCTCACAGAAACATATTAACTTCCAACATTCAGGCAAATTTTGTTAAGACAGACAGTTATTATCTTAAGGGGATGGAAATGTTTGTGAAGCCATATTTTCGTACTTGTTTTGAGAGAAAGATGTACTTTTGTGGAATGGTCTAGAAGATGATCTTAAAAAATGCCAGATCTATGTACAGTATATATTTAAGAGTCAGATAAAAGCTAGTTTTCTGAAGGATTATGGAAAAGTAAAATGTGAAGCTATATGAATTGTTGTTTGAGTTGATGTTATTTTTATTGTTTTGTAAATTATGTTTTATTCAAATATATTCTGGGGATAAAAGGGGCAGACATTTATTCTTCTTCTGCTACCTTTCATTTTATTTAGATTTTTGATTTGTGTATTTTTTTGTTTTCTATTGTATATAGTTATTTTGTTTTTTAATGAAATAAATACATTTTTTGAATTGAATTGAAACACTGTCCAGCTTCTCCAGTGGGATCGATCCCAAGGTACTCCCAGGCCAGAAAGGATATGAAAAAAAAACAAAAAAAAAAACCTCTCCATCAAGGAGACTCAAGGTCTCCTCTAAGGACAAGCCCAGAAAATGTCCCAGGAAGCATCATGATCAATGTTCAAACCATTGATCTATATTAATATAGATCAATGGTTCAAACCACCTTAATTGCCTCCTTTCAATAGAGGAGCAGTTGATGATTCAACTCAGGGCTGTATAGTGAGGGTTTGAACGTAGACGAACCACAGATCCTCCTTCAGCACACTTGGAAAAAAAACGATACTCCATCTTGCCATCCTTTGTAAGCAAGACTCCCAGTCAGATACCTAAACTCTTTAACTTGAGGGAAAAACGTGACCAGGAGTGAGCGCTGCACCTTTCCCCATTTGAGAGCAATGGGGACTAAAACTGATCTATGAAAAGCAGTAATGCATTAAAGCTTTTGAGTACCACCCTTTAATTTATGAATCCAACAGTTCATTCAGAAACTTCACATTAACACTGACAGGAAAAGTATGAAAAGGCAAACGTTAAAGAGCACATGCTTTTAAATCACTGGCAATGTGTTTTCTGAKTTGTTAAAGTAAAGTAATAACAGGTATCTTTAGGACAAAGACCTTGAGTGTTACAAGAATGAATTTAGGTATCTAAAGTTTCAAAGATTATTCAATTATACACTTATTTAAAATATTTACTCATCTGCATCTGAACTAAACTGTCAAAAATAAAGATAAATCATTTTTGTAACTGGGAATTTCTGCCTAAAATGTCCTGCCTGTCTGCTGTACAGCATCTTGAATTATTTAATAAAACATGAAGCGGAGAAACCAAGTGCTGCATCCAGTCCTGCTACTGTGTGAGCGTTTCATACTTCTTCTTCAGGCCTTTCGTTGTTTGAGCATCTCCATGTACATGCGCAGCGACTTCTGGATGGACTCTTTAGTGACGAAGCCTACAAAGTTCTGGATGTCAGCTTCTCTGTTAGCTCTTAGTTTGTCAACTGTGGGCAGCCTCATCATGGATTTGGTGAGCTGCCGGGCGTGCTCTGCAAAGTGAACAAATGAGCAGTTACCTCACAGGATCTAAAAGCGAGGCCCCACCACCAAAACTCAGTAGAAAAACGCTCTGAGGATATCAGGGTTCATAGATTTATCCCACAGTAACATTTAAGCACTTTTCAAGAATTTTCAAACTTTCCAGCATCAAACTTTGGAACAGTCTGTATCTCTGTTTGCCTTGAGCTTTATAACGACACATCGCTTTCTCTATCTGAAGGGAGGCGATCAACAATCTAAAATACGCAACTGAATAAAATTCTGCAAGTTAAAATGTGAAATGAACACATGAGCAGAAGGTGCTTCAACACATCACAGGACCTGCAGGCATGACGGAACACTGCTAAACCATTAGCTTGCCATGTTTCCCAGTGTTTTCAATAGAAATGTTTTGTCTTTGCACATTTTAAAGTACAGTAGATGACATAAAACCATAGCTTGATCCATCCTTCAATCAATTTACAATTTACACGAAAAGTTGTAAACTAGCTACTACTTTTGCATCATGGCTCGAGGACACCGACTCTCCTTTTTGCAAAAAGCTGCAGGTCCTAGCATACATTGCAGGAAGCTACTTGAGGATTTTGTCCTTGTTTCAACCATTTTTTATTTCTTTATTTTTTATATTTTTTTGGTATTTTAGCGTTTTCAAGCCACCTGTCACTAGAATGTCAACCGCCTGTCTGTTTTCTCCAGCTCACGGAGACGTGCTCAAGGCAGGGCTGCTTCATAGCTGTGCCAGAGGACTGTTAGAGTGCTCGTTATTAAAAAAACTGTGCAGTTAGAATATCAAGTACTTTCAAAAACTTTATACAGAAATCAAGCACTTTCCAAACCTTGAAAACACCTTGTTAAAATTCAAGCATTTTCAAGGATTTCAGGCACCCGAATAAACCCGTTTAAACTGCTGAGACTTGTAGCTAATACCACACCAGAGTTTAGCTCTATATCCATAATATTAACTTTCTGAGGTGTTTTAGTGTTTGCTAAAGTTAGTTAGCTTAAAATGGTTTAACGCCAAAAGATAATCTGCTCTAGAGGTAAAGCCAGTGATTCATTTCTGAGATTTCCATCAAAGTCAATGCAGGAATTCACAAGATATTTTGCTAACACAGCAGTCAATCAAATAAACAGACAGAGGCACAATCATTACTGCTCCTTTTGTCATAGTTTGGTTTTTTTTTGGTTGCTGTTTTTGTATTATGGTTAGGTTTTTTAGGTCCTGTTTTGGGGTTTTGTTCATGTGGGTTTTCTGTTATTTGTCTCAGGTGTGTTCAGTTCTATGATTAGTGTTGCTTCCATTTCCTCAGGTGTTTTCTGCTAACTCAGTTGTCTTGTGTCAGTGTCCGATCATTGTGCTGTTAAGCGTGTCTCATTCCAAGAGTTTTTTTTCGCTACGTCTTTCAAGTGAGTTTTTTTCAGCTGCCTCGTCAGCATTTTGATTTGTAAATAAACTTTATTTTTGTTACATTTGAAATCTGCCTGTGCCCTGGGTCATTCCATGTCTGAACCTGACAGCGAGAAACGATAAAAACAAAACCTGAATGACAGGTCAGTTCTGTTGTGGCTTTAAAGACCGATACCTGGAATAGCCAACCACTTGCTCATGGTCTGTGTGGCTGCGGCAAGGATCTGATCCTCAGGTACCAACTGGTCCACGAGTCCTATCTTTAAGGCATCCAGAGGGTTGTAGAGCAGCCCCAACTGCAGCGAGATCTCGGTGTTCCTGTGGCCCACAACGTTCACTAAGGTGTCCTTAAACCTAAAGYCGTGAAAGAGATTAAACACACTCTGGAACAAGCAAAACCCAACTGGTTTACACACGTTCCATGAACCAAGACTGCCACAAATCCTTACCAAAACGGCGCCACGATACCGAGCTGCGTCTCGTTCAGACCAATGCTGTAACGAGGGTTATCTGCCATGATTCTGTAGTCACACGTCAACGCGACGAGGCAGCCGCCTGCAGGACTGGAACCCTGCGGAGGACAACAAGGAGGGAGGCTTGTGCTCATTGGCTGCGGGTGATTGTTGGTGTGCTGCCAGGTTGTGTTAGACATACGTTAATAGCAGCTACAGTAACCATGTTGGAGCTGTAGAGTTTCAGCCACATCTCCTGCACAGCTTTCCAGAACTCTGCATAGTGCTCTGGACTCTTCCCATACATCTCTAAGATATCCAGGCCGGCTGAAAACACCTTGGGTTGGCCCTGGAGTGAAACAAGCAGCAAAATGCAGACATTTATTCACCAGTCACACAGTCTTTTATTATCACCCCCTATTGAAAGGTGACAAGTTTTGGCTGAGTGTTTGTATCTGCTACTAAGAACTCCTAAGAACCAACAGATACATTATAGAGACATTTGCACAAAGTAATCATTTACATCTACAACTGATTAACATTCAACATGCCTGTCACAAACAACTGACATAGAAAAGAAACACAAAAACAGACATCTCACTTGATATGCAACTTTGTCATTTTTCAACACAAGATGATATCTCTGCCTGAAACTCAGACATGAATGCTGATGGGTGACAAGCTCTCCCTCATGGAATGCCAGGCCTTCAGTTAGCTAAAATGTTTGTTTTATTTTGAACATGTTAACTATGTACAGACAATCATTTAAAGCAAAGAAAAAAGAAGCAAAAATCATCAACCTACAAGAAAAATAAAACTGAATAAAAATTTAAATGTGAACAAGTATCTCTACATTTCTTCTTGTGTAGCTCACATGTCGAAAAGGAGTGGGAAGAAGTACAAACTTTATTCCCACCCCCTTCACCATAAAACGGATTATAAACATTTAACCCTCCGGCTGTTCTCGGGTCAGAATTACTCCAGAGGTCTCAGTTATAAGCAGGAAGGTGAAATTACGAGTACGGATGTCTGATAATATCGGCCTACAGATATTATCGGTCAGATTTTGGGGAGGTGGTGGCGCAGAGGGTAGAGAAGCCGTGTCTGTGATCYGAAGGTCGCCGGCTCGACTCCCTGAACCAACCAGCCCCACCTTGGGCCCCTGAGCAAAGCCCTTAACCCCCCAGCTGCTCCCCAGGCGCTGTAATTGGCAGCCCACTGCTCCACATGTGCGATGGGTTAAATGCGGAGACTCAATTTCCCCTCTGCGGGACGATAAACGTTAATAAATTATAGYGCTGCACCGATTAGTTGAAATAATCGATGACGTCGATTATGTAAATTTGTCGATGCAGATTTTTTATTATCGATTCGCTGTATTACATAACCACCACGTGAATGTTCATGCAATTCRATTTCGGTACCTAAAAGCATCYTTGRGACCGTATTGGCATAAGAGTAGTGGGTTTTCCATGCTTGTCCTGAACGCAGCATCGCGCAAGAGCGTAATGACGTCAGCAGCTGCTGCTTTCAGTTCAGTCTGAAGCTTGAAAACAAGCCTCGCAGCTCCTGGAGTAAAATTTACCAAACAGACCACCTCTGAATTATCTGCTGGATTAATTATCTTGTGAGCACGACGTTCGCTTGCTCAAAGTAAATAAAGTACAGTTACTTTCTTTATTTCATCCACCATTAAACAGAGACCGGTGTTAGGTCGAGCCACGTTCCCCCATCAGACGGTTCCCCCATCAGACGGTTCCCCCATCAGACGGTTCCCCCATCAGACGGTTCCCCCATCAGACGGTTC